TCATTTTATTTTTTATTTTTTATTTTTTAAAAAAATTCTATTTATTTAAGTAATCTCTACACCCAGTGTGGGGCTTGAACTCACAACCCTGAGATTAAGAGTCACAGGCTCTTCCGACTAAGTCAGTCAGGCTCCCCTCAATGTTTTCATTTTAAAAAACTTAACAATGAGGGGTGCCTGGGTGGCTCAGTCAATTAAGCATCTGACTTTTGACTTTGGCTCAGATCATAATCTCACAGTTGTGAGATTGAGCCCGGTCAGGCCCTGCATGGAGCTGACAATGGAGCTTGCTTCAGATTCTCTCTCTCTCTCTCTCTCTCTGTCTCTCTCTCTCTCTCGGGCTCATTCGGTTAAGTGACAGACTTTGGCTCAGGTCAGGATCTCAGGGTTTGTGGGTTCAAGCTCCACATCAGGCTGGCTACTGTCAGCACAGAGCCCGACGTAGGGCTTGAACCCATGAACCCTGAGATCCTGACCTGAGCAGAAGATCCTTAACTGACGGAGCCACCCAAGCGCCCCCAAAAACTTGTGTTTAATATGAGAACAAAATTGTTAACTGAAAGTCACAGTTTGTAGGGTTGAATGGGAAATGTTTGGTCCATAGTGGGTTTTCTGGGATAGTTTCAATTTCAAATGTTCCATACTGCCGTTGGACAATGGCTTAGTGCTATGTTTCTGAAATGGAAAATTGATTAGTCCTTGTTCCACACCTACACCTGGTTATGTTAAGGAAAATATGTGGGATCTGTTCTCATTCTCTTTTCTTTTTTCAAATGGTTGTATCTCGATAGCTAGTTTTCATTTATCTTTATCCTTGTGGGTTGTCTTTGAGGGAACGAAGTGTTTTCTTTACCTGAAGCTTTTGAAGAATTATTTTTCTTTAAGGAGAAAAAAAATCAAAAGGCTAGAAGAGACTTTGAAAATGTCATTGAAATAATGTCTGGGTGCAGTTGAGTGAACTTATATAAACTCTTTGAAAGTTGGATTGACTAGCATTCATGTTTGATCTAGTTAAACCAATAAAATACAGGATGTAATCTTTATATAATTACCGAAGTCCCGCTGTCTGATCCTACCTGGAGGTTACAATAATGATTCAACAGGCAAACGCCTTTCTTGTCTGATGTACTTTGACTCTTTATCTTTGCTGGCTTTAACCCAGAACAAGACTTGATTGCCAATACTGTATTTTATTTTTGTTGTCAAGTGGCTTAAGTGGGGAAGGCTATTGTAATCTGACTAAGAACTTCCCCTGGGGCGGGTTGTTGAAAACTACTGGATTCTTGTATTTTTCCATTACTCTCCTGCTCCAAGAGCATCACAGGTAAGCAATGTAGGTGGATGGTAGTGTGTGTGCACCTGGCTGAAACACAGTAGCTGGAGTTAAATCAGGGGTTTACCCACATCCTTGATGCTATTAGGCAGGGTTTTTAGATGTTCTTTGTAGAGATAAATAGAATGCCAAAGGCTGATTGATAAAGGCAAAAGCACAGAACAGCTGCAAAACCTTTACGGGGGGGGGGGGATTGTTTTAAGAAAAACAGGAAACTTAAAACCCCAAAAGGAAATGTAGAGACACATATCTATGTGTGTGCATGTTTGTGTGTGTGTCTAGAAAATTTTTTCATGGAGCAAACATCATGCATAAAGTCAAAAGGCCAACGATCACTGGAAAATTTCTACAACACCTATTATAGACAAATGATTATTCAATCTAATTGGCCCTCGTAGCTGCTACAATGGCTATGGTTAGCATTCAGAAAAGAAATGGTAAAATGCACAGACTGTTCACTCTAAAGGAAATGCAAATGGCTGAAGGAAATTAAACCAAAAAGAATACCATTGCCCAGTCATCATATTGGCAAACATGGCAGGATTGTTACCATCCAAGGAGAAAAACATGGCGGGCTGCCTCTTCTGAGCCTCACTAATAAGATTGCATTGGGTTATACAGAGGAACTGGGAGATTTTAAGTACAGGATTACTCCCCGACTCCTGAAAACAATAATCGTGGCAAACAAAGTAACGTCAATCATAATGGACTTTTTTTCTGACCTCTAACTCCGTGCCAAACATTTTGCTCAATACTTTATGTGGATTATGATTTTAATCTTCTTAAGCATTCTAGGACATACTGTCTTCAGTGACAAAAAAACCTATTACGACCAAAATGATCGTTCATGCTTGCTTGCTATTGCCCCAAATATTTCTGTATATAATGATAGTTTTTCATTTTGTGATTAGTGGGAAATTTCGCTTAAAATGAAAATGCCTTGGTTGAGGAAATGCATTGATGTTAATTCCCCCCGAATGTAAACAGCTTAGCAGATAGGCTCTGTGACTATTAGTTTCTCTGTAATTTTGACAGGTGTATGAGCCAATACCATGGGGAGCACTGGGTTTCCGCATGGTGCCAGGCACTAGAGGATGCATTTGCTGGGCAGCCGAAGGCAGTCTTTGCTGGAGTTTTGGTGTTTTGTTGTTGAGGTCTGGCCATTTTATCTATAGTCAAAGGAAACAAAAGGAAACTAGTCAAGGTGTTGTAGGTACACGACTTGTCCAATCCTCTCCTTTTTTTTTTTTTTTTTAACCCTCTGACATGTACTACATAACACATTTTATTTCCAGCAATAAGTCCAAATGCACTGTAATCTGTGTTCTATCTATTTACCCAACCACCCCTCCTATTCTCTGCTTCAACCCCTCAATCTGATCTGCTGCTTCTGGAATGTACGATACTCAGGACCATCCCAACCAATTCATTCCTGTCCTTCCAAGGTTCTGAGTCTGGAGATTTCCTTCAAAACGCTCCATAAAAGTCACCCTTTGTTTAGCTGAACCTTTACCCATTGTGGTGTGACAACTGTGTTTAACCATTTGCTTCATGAATGTGGATATTTTACTTGGCTTCTTTGAATCCCAGTTTCTTGACTTTAAAAATGGGTAAATGAAGTTTATGTCATTACATGAGATGCCTAGGGAGGCTGAATATGGCAAACACCAAACCAAGTGCCTGCTGTGTAGATGTGGTCATTGGTACGATAGTATTATTTATTGATAATAATCCTGTCAAAGGCATATTACCCCATTGGTGTTACCGTATCAGCCAGGCAGCAGTTGCCATGCTGACTTTGCAGCCCCAGTGTCTCTCACGTGACCTTTGATGGAAGCCGTCTCTGTGAGAATCAGGAGCTGGTCCATTTGCTGGTGTGAAGCATTGAAGCAAAGAGGAAAAAGGAAGCCCTGTCTCTGGGACCACAGTCTAGTTTGGGAGCTGACTTAAATAAAAGACCTATATCCTAAGACAAGAGAGGATGGGGTACATACTTCTCTCCAGAGCAGCCCAGCAAATGCAGAAGCAGTGAAGACACCCTTAGGTTCTCCAGAGGTCCTCCCCATCTATCCAGGAAAAGAAAGACTTAGAAGGGACCAGGGTGGAAGCTGGGCCAGGTCAGTAGGGGGACGGGTAGATTGATCTTAGTTTAGCTGAAACTGGAGGTACATTCTGGGATCTGGGGATGTAAGGCTGCCGAGGAGAGTTAGGGCCATATGATAGATGTAATAGCTAAAGCTTTAACGTGGGGCTGAGGCCGTTTAGCACGATGATCCGAGCCTAGTGGAGGAAACTTTCTGATCCTATACAGATGAGATTGACTCACTAGGAATCCTAGATTATGAACATATACTATTGGACATAAGATATATTGAGACAGATTATTGGGAGCAGAAGAGAAAAATGTGGTATATCCGTACAATGGGATTGGACAATAAAAAGGAATGACGTATGGTTTTTGTGGCAATGTAGACAGAGCAAAAATACCATACCGTTTAGCAAAATGTAAAACATGATGCCCAGTGAAAGAATCCAGACACAAAAGGCCACATGTTGTATAATCCCTTTTCCATGAGGTTTCCAGAATCAGTCTGTAGAAAAGGAAAGTAGGTGAGTGGTTGCCAGGGGCTGGAGGGAGGGAGATGGCGGAGTGAGTGCTAAGGGATACATGTTTCTTTCTGGGCTGGTGAAAATGTTCCAAAAATAGATAGTGGTGATGGTTGCACAGCCTTCTGAATATACCTTTTAGTATTTAGAGCATACTTTTTACTACAGACCGCTGGTTTCTATACTTTAAAACAGTGTGCTTTCTGTGTATACGTTATATCTCCATGAGCTTGTTATAAAAGGATTTTTAAGAAGATATATTGATTTTCTTTGAACTGAGCGCCAATGTAATACTAATCTATGAATAGAATATGATGTTGTCAAAATTCAAAGTTTAGAGATTCAGACAGAGGAAATGGACTTACTTGATGTCATACCCAACCGTGAACTTCCAAGAGCTGGAGGCCACGACATCTAAATTATGGGGTGGTTGGTTTTACTATCCCTACCAGCTACCCCTGCCTAACACACACTCACGTAACCTATCCGAGCCAAAGGAGGAGTCGTGACCAAGATGTCAGTCATGTGGAGTAAGAGATTTCCCAGCAGAAATGCTAACGTTAGAGACAGGAAACCGTAGTCCTAATCTTTCTTCTGTACCGAGTGAATATCAGGCCGTGCTAACTGGCGTGTGGGTATTATTTCATTTCCTTATGCCAGTGACCTCATGCGTGGCATATGGTTATGTCTTATAGATGGATCAATTGAGGTACACGGGTAGTAAATCCCTTGTCCCCCGTCACACATCCAGTGACAGGGAAAGAGAAGGCTTTTCAGTGAGGTCTGACTCCCAGGCAGCCAGCAGGAGACATGGCTCAGACACTTTTCCTTTTAGGCAGCTTGAAATCCTCATTAATTTATATGTCTTTGTTTCTATCATGGGGTCAAGGCCAAAATTGGACTTACATTAGAAGCGCACTTTCTATTTTGGGAAGAGAGAATTATAGGAGGGCAAAAACGGGTCTTTTGTTAATGATAACATTGAAAAATGAAATTCACACTATGTAGCCATGAGTTAGAAAATTATTGAATGAGCCAATATTTCTTTTTCTTTTTGCAGAACAACGGTTCCCTGGTTTGGTGTCAGAATCACAAGCAGTGTTCTAAGGTATGTTCCCTACAACTGTATCCGTGTTGTTAAAAGCGTTTAATTTTGGAATGATTGTAGAGTCACAGGAAGTGGCAAAGACAGCAGAGAAGGTACGTGTACTGTTCATCCGTTCCCCACCAAATGCTTACGCTTTCCATGTTTGTAGAACACCATTAGAAGCAGACACGGGTGCAATGTATGTATATCCGTCTGTGACGTTTCATCACGTGCAAATTCAGTTCAGTCAAGATACCTGTGGCGGTTCTTCTGTACGTCGCCTTATTTCTCTGCTTGTACCTTTTTCAATCCAAATAAATTTTAAGGAGAAAACATCTTCGGGTTGGAACCAGAAGGTTTACTGCATCCTACCTACCCTTACGTGATTTTGTACGTAGTTTGATTTGCAGGAATTTGCGATACTGTCATTCATAAGAAATGCACAGTTGGTCATTCAGATGACCAAAATATACTTTCCATATATTTGATCTTTCTCTACGGTTCTTGGCTCACAGCTCCCAAAACCTTGGAATTTTCTGAGTAGTAAAAGCAATGGGAACGTCTTTTGTTATATTTGGTCTCTTGTCCTCCGTTTCTAGAATCCCTTCAGAGCCCTACAGGTGAATGGGTGTCCACCCCTGACCATCATAACGACCCCTGGCCATCACAGTGGGGTTTATGTGAATGAGGTGACTTTTGGAACACGTCTGAGGATGGGGGCTCATTGCTAGGGGAACCCACTCTGAATAGAAGGTTGGAACTTCCAGCACCCCTGCCCCTGATTGCCAGGGAGGGGAGAGGGCTGGAGGCTGAATCAACCATCAACTGCCAATGATTTAATCAATTTTGCTTAGGTTAGGAAGCCTCCATTTAAAAGCAAAAACAAGAAAAGAGGGTGTTCGGAGAGCTTGCAGGCTGGTAAACACGTACAGATGTAGATTTGGGGACAGGTGATGTACCCGGAACATCATCGTCATTTCCCTGTGCGTTGCTTTGGGCTTCGGTTCCATCTGGCTGTTCCTGAGTTAACATCTGTTTAAAATAAACCCGTCTAAACTGATTAATTACTAGTAAGTAAAGTGATTCTCACGTGTCCTGGTGAGCCGCCCGAGCAAATGAATGGAAACCAATGAGAGGATCAATTGGACCCTCCCATCTACACCAGCTCAGTCAGAAGCACAGGTGACAAGGGGACTTGCCAGGTTGGCATCAAAATGGGTGTGGGGCATGGAGGAGGGGTTGGGGAGCAGCCTCCTGGGACTGAGCCCTTAACTGGTACAATCTGATACCATCGCCACGTACATGGTTTCAGAATTGAGTTAAATTGTAGGACACTCAGCTGATGCGGGAACGTTGGTGAACGGCTGGGGTAAACTGTCCCCCGACCATCCACACGCAGGTTGGAATTGGTTGCCGAACATTTAGAATTGCTGGTTAGTTTGATCCTTTAAATTCAAAAGTGTCTTCTCCATTTTTGAATATTCCTTCCTGCACACACACACTCTGAAGTTGTCATTCATACATTTCATAGCATACATTTTACCTCAATCCCAAAACATCGCAAATTAAGAAAAAAAAAAAGAATATATATGTATTTGTAATATGTAGTATATAAATGAGTAAAGTTTACTACTGGCTAAAAATATTGGCAACTTTGGGATCATAATAGTGTTTGACGAAATTTATGTCATAAACATTACTATTAGACCGAAAATTGAAACAGTCCTTTATTGTATAACTAAAATTTTATCTGAGCCATACATAATACTGAAATAGCATATTTATGAGGAACACGATTATTTTGAGAGGTCTTTGAAACACATATCTCACAGTAAATGATTGTAGAATAATATTCCTAAGCCAAGAACTTTATTATAATGATAACGTTCCAACATCCATGCACACATTGTATCATGGGATACATGTGACTATTACTCAAGATAGAACAGAATTCTTACGCGAATGTGAAATAATCTGGTGAAAATAAGCTTTGCTTAGCTCTGACTTGCTAAATCTTGGGCAGAAATGAAATGTCTGGTTTGGGCACTGTTCCTCTTTTTTATGTAATAACATAAACATTTGTTCTGAGAAGACATTTTCTGGTGTCTATTATATTAATTGTTCTTTAGTTGGAATGTTGGGTAACTTGTTTATGTCACGATTGCAGGGAAGTATGTGTGTATATAAACATAGAGAGGAAGAGAGAGAGAGATGATGCCGTGATGCTGATAAAGTCTCCTAAGTACTGCTTCTGTCCAGTTTTATATTAGTTGAGTATTACATGAATTGCCAGCATTCTCTCATTTAAGCTACCCCTTGTTTCCCTATTATGTTAAAAAAAAGTAGTTCTTTTTTACACCCTTCAAAGAAATTTGAATGGAAAAGTTCATTTCAACTCTTTTTTCTTTTAAGTATCCTGATTAAAGACCCTTCGCCCTGCCGGGACAGCAGGTTGTTAAACCATATCTTGTTATCGAATGATCAAGGCTGACACGAGAGACTGAATTTCACAAGCAGAGAAATCAATTCCTTTTTGCCTGAAAGCAAGAATGCATTAATAAGTCACAGCTAACCCCACCAGCAACTTTGGAATATAGTACAAAGCTGACATAAGTTTAAGGGTTGTCTTTAGTCTGAATCTTTGGGAATGAATCTTACATATTAATCACAGTCTATCTCCTTTGGAAATTTTCACCACCGGGCACGTTTGCAGATAATTACAGTTTGCATTTCTTTTGAGATTTGTGGAGCCTATGTAGTCTTTTCCTCTTAATCTTTAGGTTAATGAGGTAAATGGTGAGTGATAGTAACTCCATTTTACAAATGGGAAAATTCAGGCACATACATATTTGATGACAGTCCTGGAATCACTCACCAAAGGGGTAGACGTGTTCCAAAGTTTAGAACGCTGCCTTCTGCATCGTGCTAACAGAAAGGAACAAGTTCAAAACCTATTTTGAACAAATATTGGGACTGAAGAGTAAGAAATAACACCCAGAAGTAATGATGATAGACAAGGTTTACATAATGTTTTATAGAAACCACACGTGCTCATCATTTCTGCTTACCGTCTGCAAATATGGGCTCTTCCTCCGATCTCACTGCCCCCACCCCTGCCCCTGGTCCGTGTGCCATCATCTCTTGCCCGGACCAGTCCATGAACTTCCTGTTGTGTCTCCCAGCCTCCTCTTTTGCCTCCGTGTAGTCCCCACAGGGCTGCTGGAAAGACCCTCTACACGCATACGCTGAGTCATGCTGCTGTGTACCTCACACCTTCTGATCTCTCTCCATCTTGCTCAGACCAAAACGTTGGCCCTGCGTCTCCAACTCTCTCCAACTTCATCTCCCCCTACTTTACAGCCCTTCGAGGTTGCTCTCCTCCCCCCACAGAGCCCTCCTTCCTCAGAGAGACACCCAGTTCACCCCCACCCCTCATTCCCATCTCAGCTTTGCCTCCCCAGGTCACCCCCGCCATTGGCATGCTTCATTTACACCCTAACGCGGCACCATGGAGTTATTCCTTTATCTCTCAGAGTCTGTCTCCTTCACCAGAAAGTAAGCAGCCACTACGTATGAATGAATGAAACCCGTACATTACATTTTGTCCTCCCTCAAAGTACATCTTTACTGCATTACATTTAGGAGAAAAGTAATATGTAATCCATTTTGCATATGTACGAGTTTGCAAGATTGATTATTGTCCATTTGGAAAATGTACAGCTTTGCCCTGTGCTCTGTTCTCCATGATGACATCAGCACTAGGAACTCAAGGGTCTTTCGCACCATTCGACTCCTAGATAATATAGAGTAGTGACTCATTCATTGTCCATTGTAGGACATTGTAGGCTGAGGTAGTCGTTCTCAGCCTGGGGCGATCTTGCTCCCAAGGGGACATTTGGCAATGGCTGGAGATAGTTTTCGTTGTCGCAACTGATGGTGGGAAGCCACAGGCATCTGGTGGGTGGAGGTCAGGGACGCTGAAGAACAGCATACAGCACACAGCACAGCCCTGTACAGCCAGAGTCATCTGGTCTAAGTGTCAGAAACGCCGAGACTGAGAACCCTGCTCTGTGCATTTTGGCAATTATAAAAGACATAAGAACACAGCTGTCTTCTCAGCATATTCTTATATGGCGGAAAACAAGAGTGGAATTTACTTGGCATGTGGTACGTGTGGAGCCCCGTCAGGGGCTTGTTACGTACAGGAATTGTAATTCTCACGAAATACTCTCTAATGTAGGCAGGTGGATTGCTCTTTACCTCCCAATCCACTTTGTCCTCTACTAACCCAGACCTAGTTCTTCACCTGAGCACATTATCACCTAGAATTAAGCATCTACATTTCCCAAAGCTTTTTTGCTGCTAACTTATTAAAAGCCTACTCAATGCAATTGGAATGATCGTGAAGGACTTTTGAAATGCCTCTCTATAGGAAACAGATTTAGCTAGAAAATGCACTCCTGGCTGTTCCCCTTCTCTGTCCTCTACTGCTTAGGATGCAGACTGATGGTAGGGGCTCCGGCAGCCGTCTTGGTCCATGAGTTACCCTTGACGATGGAGGCCAGTGTGAGAATAACCAATAAGAAAGACAGAGGGCATCTGGGTCTTTGATGCCATGGAGTCCCCATTATAAGTCTTAGACTTCTTTTTTTTTTTTTTTTAATTTTTTTTTCAACGTTTTTTATTTATTTTGGGACAGAGAGAGACAGAGCATGAACGGGGGAGGGGCAGAGAGAGAGGGAGACACAGAATCGGAAACAGGCTCCAGGCTCCGAGCCATCAGCCCAGAGCCCGACGCGGGGCTCGAACTCCCGGACCGCGAGATCGTGACCTGGCTGAAGTCGGACGCTTAACCGACTGCGCCACCCAGGCGCCCCAAGTCTTAGACTTCTTAAATTATGTACACATGAAAGAAAATTTTCTGTGTTACTTAAGTCACTGTTTTTACTTTTTTGTTGTTGTTCTGTGTAGTTGGACCTGAATCAGTGAACCTGATCTTGACCCTGTAATTGGCATGACCA